TTATCTAATGGAGGTATGTAAAACTCCAAAGCCTCTAATGTATTCATTGGTTTTATTTTTAATTCTTTGTGTAGAATCTATTTAGAGCAGAAACTATCTAGTAGTAATCTTCAAAGTATAAAAATGCTCATTTGAGAACTCTTACCATTGTAAGAGAATAAAAGTTTGCTTTTTAGCAACTTCATTCAACAGGCAAGTCTTTTTGTTGAAAAATGTGGATGTCCTCCATAAACCGTAATTGCACATATGTAGCATAAATATTGTTTTTTTATTAGATTTGTTGCAGAAGTAAGGGCCTCTTTTGTTTAAATGGACTTGCTTTTGAACTGTGAAAATTTAATCGTGATAGTTTATTGGTTCAGCTCTGGAGAAGCTGAGGCAAAGCTATTTTGCTCCAGCCAGAGCTATTTATATACCATCACCGAGAGCTCCTTTTTATATTATTGGTGTTATTGCGTACTAAAAAAGGAGTGTTAAAAGAAAACTTAGGATTTTTTTTATTCTGTGCCCTTATTCACTACAATGATATTTTTAGAGGTTATTTCATCTAGCTGTATCTCTTCCGAAAAGGCTTTATCTTTTTCATAGTAGAGGCAGACAAGAACTCAGCTTGAAGCCATTCCTTCTCAAGCCTTCTTTTTTGAAGGGTGAAAGGATCAAAGAGAGTGGAACTCTGTGTATGAATTGAACCTCTTTGCCCTTTGCCCCTTCCTGATCAACACATCTCCTTCATTGAGGACCGAAGTGACGATGCATTTTAACTGAAGAAGCCTTTAAGAAAAAGGGTTAAAATCTAAGAAACTGTTTGAGTTGCTCTATGCAAAAAGAAAGATCAGTCTTAGACGGTCATCCTTTCTTCAGGTTTAGTTCCGGAGAAGACCATTATAATTCTGCTTAGCTTTCCTTTTAGAAGAGTGCTTTGCTAAACAGGACAGGAAGATAATCATTCACTGCTGCGAATATCTCCTGAATTGGACAAGTGCAGAAGAGGAATGACAGCAGAATGGCTGCTCCGAGGCTGGAATTTGTTAGCTGAACATCAGACGTATAACTTCAAACAATGTCCTTTAACAAAGCTAAATTTGGAAACAGTAGATTTGCAGCCCTAAAAGTAGAGTGGTTGAATCTCAATAACAGCATCAGATTTCAGCCTTGGATGTGGAGCCTCAATAGAAGAGTTAGAAAGCAGCACTTTGCCTCTGATGCAAGGAACATGCCTGGGCCCTCTGGGCTGGCCACAGTCATAGACAGCAACGTATCATATTTAGCGCTGTTATCTTCAGATACAGACGTGTGTGTGTGTGTGTGTGTGTGTGGGTGCGTGCCTGCAGTCCATTGTCTGGTCATTCTTACATGTCATCATTGAAATACAAGACCACTTGTTATATTTTATATTTCCTTTTTGATTCATTACCCACCTTATGAGACATTTTGTAATAATATGTGAAGTTCTCTTTTATCTTATCCTCTAACATGAAACTGTGTGTCAAAGGACATGATTACATGAGACCTTTTTCTTTAAAATTTAGTGAATTACGTACATCTTTGGGTTATGGGAAGGGATAAGCTAGATGTTGGGCTTCATGGCTGCAAGTCAATTTGTGAAAGGCTGTACGAAAGAAAGATAACATTTAACATAATTCAGTTTCTCTTCCATTACCATCTTGAACTATGGTGTAAAGTTTTGTATTTTTATTCTAGAAATATAGCTGACATTAGCATTCAGGTATCCAGTTCAGTTTATCTCCAGTGAAGAGTCTTTTAAAATTAAGTTAAATACAGCACAAAAGACATAGAAAATCAATAATATTTCATTTCTTTTTAGTAAGATCTTTCTATATACATTTGCTTGGGGTACTTATAAATTTCTCCCTTTACAGAAGTATTTTATAATAAATGTCAGTTATGGATTTAACTGTAGCAAAAAAATAGTGCAGGTTCTGAAGTACCTTTAATATATCAGATAAAAAACTGCTTAGCTAAGTAAGTGTAGGAAATAGTGATACAGTCTCTTAAATGATATTTGTAAAATGTAGTGATACTAAATGTGAGAGCATTCAGGAACTTAATATGTGAAATACTGTAGGATTCAGTACATTGCACTGTAAGATATTTTAAGCTTCTTTGCTTATTGGATTACCTATCATAACCCTTTTACAGAGTAGAGATCCTAAAAATATTTGCAGATGGATGTGAACTAGACTCACATATATATAATATTCTTTTTGTTTAATTACTCATACTAATAATATGTGATTTCATTATTTTAACATTAATGTTTATAGTCTAAAGATTTTTATCCTAATGTTAGTTAGCTACAATTGTAGGGGCATTAGCAAGTGATAGAACTGGTTAGAACTAATTTATTAAAGTATTAGAAATTGAACGTTGGGAAAATCGTTTTTAATAGCCATGTATGCATCAGTAAATTTAAAAGTACCCACTAGGGGTGTTACTAAGGAAACATTTCCTTTTTTTCTTTTTGGAAATAGCTAAGTACAAATTAAGGACAAATTAACTACTTATCGAGTTCCTCTCACTCTATAAGTGTGACTCCATTGGTGATTATTGTGGCAGCCATACTAGATAAAATAATATTTTAAATGGCTCTCACGATTGAAATAAGTTTTTTGTTGTTACTGTTAGGGTAAGAAACGTGGGAGTCTGTAAAAGGCACTTCCTGGCTATCAGATTTGTTTCTGCTTATGAACGGTTCATGAATTTGAGAATAAGAGAGAATTGGACAGACAGATGCAGATTAAGACTTTGGTATATAATATCATAAGGAAGAATCAGCAGTTAATATCTTAATTAAAATATGTGACTTTTTTTCTTTTGTAAACAACACAGAGCATTTAAATAACCTGGTTAACTTCATAGTAGATGAAAATATGTAAACAAAACCCAGCAATTCTATTCTTCATTAATAATGGTGTGGTACTAAAAGATTATGGAATTGTTCCAGTTGCAGGAAGAACTTTTGATTTTTTAAATTTCATTTGCCTACCTTACTGTTTCATCTTCTGAGGTGTTAACATCAGAATATTAGTTTAAGAAGGGAGGGCCTGGAAATCTTCATATGCCTAAGAAAAGATGCTTCTGTAAATGGTGATAGCATTTGCCTCCTTAAATATTTCTATACTTTTTTTTAATGTTAAAAGAGAAAGACTTACTACATACAACAATACGTTTGCTTCTAGCTTCATTAGGTATGACAAATGTGGGTGTTAACTTTTTGAATATAAAAAGAATCAGTATATTTTAGTAATCTAAGATTTCATAATTCTGGCACACTGAGAATTGATCTTAAAATATCCTAAAAATTTAAGAATGACTATTAGTTTAAAGGTTTTTTGTGTCAGAGTGTAAAATATACTGTGTTGACAAGGATAAAAATGTTTGTGGTCTTAAGGAGACTCATTAATAATTCATAGGCCTGGTAGGAATTTTCCTCTTCTTTTAATCTTTACCTAACAAAAGATGGAGTTAGTCATCTACTCTGTGCTTCAGACATGAAAAAGCTACTGTGGGTCCCAGTGTGAGATCAGACTATCCAATCCTTACCTTAGAGAAAACTGAAGCTGCTTATGTGGCCTTTGAAGTTGAAGAAGTGTCATTTCCTCCCGTCTCCACGTGGGTACTCTGCTGGCCCTTGGCTCTTGGGTGCATCGTTAGCGTTTATATGCTTTGACTGTGGCTGGAGGAGGTCAGTGCAGATGGGCTTGTTCAGCTGCAGACTTACTAGGGCAGATTTTCATTTCAGTACTTTTTAAAGTGCTTATTAGGAGAAGAAAATACAATTTTAGGCCAAACAGTTGCCAACTTAATATTTGTAGCTTCATTAAACTCTCACATACATGTGCATGTGCATGTGAAATTTTATACTTGTAAAATAGATATTTTTTCTGTTTTATTATTAAATATACACTACTTCTCAGAGTAAGATCATGAATACAATTTTTAGTTTTTAGTTGCTATATTCTTTTAATTGAGTTAGGGGAATTGTTAAAGTTTAAAATATTTAAAGGACATTCATTTTTAAACTACCTCTTCCTGAGTCACATACTAAAAGCTTGGCACATTTTTCTTGAAATTGGGAAAGCAGTGATGAAGATGACAAAAAGTTCCTACTTTCAAGGAGTTTTTCCATTCTAGTAGGTAATCATAGGCAATATTTGTTTAAGCAAGTAAAAGAGATAGTTTCAGACTGTGTTAAGTATAGTGAAGGAACCAAAATAGGTATGGAGGGAGATCGGGAGTTGGCAGTAGGCAGTATGGGAGAGCTACTTTAATAGGGAAGTAATAAGGAAAGGTCTCCTTAGACTGTGACAGAAGGGACTACTCTGGGAGAAGTGCTTGCCAAGTCCAGGGGAAGTAGGCACAGAGATTCTGACACCTGAATGAGCGTGGCATGTTCAGGGGCTGGCAAGGAGGCTGATGTGGCTGACATGTAGTAAGTGGAGGGAATGACATCTGCTGAATTGGGTATATTGGCTGGGTTAGTTCACGTGGGACCTTCTAGATGAAGAGTTTGGTTTTTAAACACCTACAGGAGGAAGTTGTTGGGAGGGACGTGATCTGATTTATCTTTTTGAAAGACCACTCTGGCCTCTAACTAGAGAAAGATTTAGAGGGGTGGGAAAGTAGGCAGAGAAGTCATTTAGGATCTGTTGCCGTGGTCCAGGGAAAAGGTTGATGACTGCTTAGACTACAGTGGTAGCCCTGGAGGTTCTGAAAAGAGAATGGATTTGTGGGAGATACATGATAGCCCACAGCAGGAAATGTGCTGGTTCTTTACCTTTAAATCCTGTGGTTTCTAATAATTCTGGCAGCTTTAAATCTTACTATATTGTGGCAAAGGAAAGAATTGCTCCTAGCGCATATGGATGAATTAATTTACAGCATAGACTGTCCACCAATCAGATTTGTCTTATTTAATCTGGCAAGTTGCAGTGAGTATTTATTTGATTTTCTTTAAGTGTAACATTTTGTTGTTTCAGGAAATGTTTTCGTATTTATCCAACCGACTAAAGAAGCTGTCAGAGGCCTACAATGAAAGACTGTTGCATACACCTCACAATCCCATATCTTTAGGTAATTTTTTTCTTTAAAAAGAAAAATTAGTACTTCCGAACCATCCCCAGTGGGAAGCTGGTATTTCTAGAAAGAGTATGAATTCTTTTTGGTTACAATGATGTTAGAAAAATCATTACAGTACTAATTTGTAAATTTAAAAAATTTAGTTACCTTTTATAAATGCTTTCATGTATTTCTAAGATAAAACCTATGCACTGAAAGAACTCAAATCTGTATTGTGTTTTAATGAATACGTGGAAAATAACACTTTAACTCCCGCTTCTCATCAAAATAATTTGGTCACTAATAAGAACTCCTTATAAATATTGTAAAATCTTTACCAGTTAGTAAATCATAACATTAGATATTGAAGATATTCTTATAATTTTAATGCCGTTATTCTTTATTTTCTTGAGTATATCTATGTTAGAGAAATCTGTATTTAAGATAATTTCATTTTGTCACATAGCACGAGACCTAAACAGAATAATATGAATGCTGACTTTTATACATTTAACTAACTTTTAAGCTTCATAATTACCCCTTTTAATTTGTGAATATATATAGTATATGCTTCATATTTCATGTATATCTGAGGAAAGTAAGGAATAATCATTTGTAACAGAAGCCTTTTTAAGGAATGGGCTTCCATGGAAAAATCATTTGGCCACTAATAGGTAATAAAATCACCCCAGTGAGTCCTTTGTTGGTTTATAATCCCTGTAGATGTTACAGAAGGTGATATGGTGTGATTTAAAACCCAGTTCTACCATGTACTAGCCTGTAACTTCCTTCTTCCTGTCTATAGGTAGAAATGATGATTCCTCACATACAAAATTGTTAAAAATGGTTAAGATTATATTTGTAAAATATCTAGTATGGCAAGTCACTCCTCAGGAAATGGTAGCTAATAGTGGTCGTATGAATAGAGTATATAGCTTACCCATTAACCTCAGGTAAGTTCCATTTCCATATGCAGAAGGTGATCTTGCAGAAGTTTATGTATGTGATGAAACATATCTCACATTCTCATTTTTTCTTCTTTTTTTGGGTGGGGACAGTGATTCGGTTTGTTTGTTTGTTTTTAGTGGAGGGACTGGGGATTGAACCCAGGACCTCCTGCATGCTAAGCATGCGCTCTACCACTGGAGCTATCCCCTCCCCCCACATTCTCATTTTAGAAGTGCCTTAAACATGGTTGAATTTGAATCAGCTACCATATTGATCATGTCATTGTCCATTTATTAAATTGGAAAATCCACTCTTTGGAGGAGTGGTATGGAAATTCTGAGTATGTTAGTTTATGTTAACATATATTTTATATCTGATATACAAACAAATCCTTGCTATAATTTATTAAGTGAATTAAAATGAAATGGTGCCTCCTGACAGTAAATAAAAAGCCATGTCTCTGTGAAAGAAGCCAGTCACAAAAAGGTAAATACTGTATGATTCCACCTATATGAGGTACTTAGAGTACTGAGAATCACAGACAGACAGTGTAATGGTGGTTGCCAGGGAGAATGGGGAGTTACTGTTCAATTAGGTGTAGAGTTTCAGTTTTACAAGATAAAAAGAGTTATGGGGATGGATGATGGTGATGGTTGTACAACAGCATTGAATGTACTTGATACCACCGAACTGTAGTCTTAAAAACGGGTAAGATGGTCAGTTTTATGTTATATATCTTAACACAATCAAAAAAAAATGTCTCCATGGTTAAGTGTTCTTTGAGTGGTTTTTGTGCTGGTGAACCAAGGCTCATTGGAATACTTTTTTCTCTTTTAGCTGTGACACTTAAAACACTAGATGAACACTGTGACAAAGCTGTCACTCAGCTTGGCTCAATGCTTTTTACCAGACAGGTTTCTGGAGCCAGGTAAGTATGTTTAAAAGACGATTGGATTTATTTCCCTTTTCAAAATTAACTCTAATAAAGTACCTTTCCTTCACAATAGTCCCCTAAGTATATGCTGAACTACACCTGAGAATTCATCGTGGAGGAAAACAGTGATGAGGCAGAGAATCTGTAAGGCTATTATTATACACCCACCTGTGGCATGCGAAATAGTCACAGAAAGAAATGAATCTTGTGTGTTTTAATAGACGTACAGAAACCAAGCTCACTACTTGCTCTGTACAAATTTTTGTCTTTATTTTCCTTTGTTGAGTAATCTTCAGTGGTGTCACATTATGGTG